AAGGGAGCCTCTGAGGTTGCCACCGGCTGGCCTCTCCCTTGGCTTTGCCCGGCAGGAGACGCCCTTCTTGGCAGCCCTGCGTGCGCTTGCCTTGACAATGGAAGGATGTTGCCAGTATCCGCCTCCCGGCTGGTTCCAGCTTCTCCCTGCGTTGAGAGAAATGTTGGTTTAACAGCATTTGCAGATCTGTATCCCGACTTTTGGCAGTGGGGAGAAGCTCCAGGGCAAGGCCTCTGCTACACCCCTCGTCCGCCATGTTGCAGTCCAAAGCGCTGGGTATTCAGATCAGTTGCCGCAAGTGTGCAGGCCCTTCCAGGAAGAGGGGGTTTAAAGATCTGGGGCTAATAGTAGCCCTAGAAAGGCCTGGCTCACCAACAGGCAAAACCACTGCTACTTTTGGGTGTCCCAAAAGGGCAGCAGATTGTCCGACGCATTATTTTTCGACACAGTGATGGGGAGAAGGTGCCCCTCGGCAGAAATAATTCAACCAGCCTCAGGTGTTATGAATCTTTGCTCTGGGGCAGCAGGGGCTGCTCTGCCTAAGACAGCAAAAGGTTTTGGGGTAGTGCAGTGAAACGGCCAGTCTTGCCAGAAGTGAGCTCCAGAGCCTCACTACAGTACAGACACAGGCTTCCCTCCTGGCCTTCCCCATGGAGGAAGGTCGAATTACACAGCAGAAAGACCAGTGCATGCTGCCCAGAGCCCTAAATGCATGCCTCAGATGATTATTAGCTGCTCTCCCTTCCCAGAAAACTCACAGGCTCAGCTCTTCTCTTGAGTATCCAAAACTGCAAAATCATTGTCTCAATTTCCACGCATCAGTAGCGTTCCAGAAAACAATCCACGTGTCCTGCCTCTCCCTGTTCTGCAGGGACAGCCCTTGTGTTTCTCTGGCAACTTGTCTAATTGGTCACTCCATCCATCCGTCTGTCCGTCCATCCACCTCCCTCTCTTTTGTCCGATGTGTTCAATTTGGGTAATGGGTTTTCCCCAGCATTACAACATGGCTTTATTGTAGCATAGAACCGAAAGCCGGGACAACCTCTTAATTCCTGTATTGCATACATAAATATCACACCTTATTATAGGCATTAAACTCAGGATTAAAGTACTGTCCTTACAGGCTGCAAGGAATTGTAAAGATATTCCGATAGCCTATCCCCGTCTTTGTCAGTGGTGGGACGCTCAACAGACATTGACTCAAATTCCCATTGGCTCAAATACCCCCAAAATCCAGGTGAGAAAGATCCTTGCTCTGGCTTCCCCAAGAACTCATGCGTCTCTCAGGCAGGAGGAAAAGGCCCCCATTACGCTTTGGTGATTTCCCTGTTGACAGCTGTGCATTCCAGTGTGGAATGACTGTGCTTATTTTCCTCTTTATGCAAATACTAAAGCAAAGAGAAGGGTCCTCCCCGTGCTTCACGCATATACCAAGCGACGGGAACACACTGCGTTCTAGTAACTGCGTTGCTCCGAATGCTGTCATCTCTCCTGCGAGGCACAAAATGAGGCCATGACCTTGCCATTCCAGAGCTGAGCAATTACAAATGGAGAGGTCAGCTGAAATATTCCCATTGCTCCAGCCCAAAGCTGTGCTCCGCAAAAAATGCCACGAAAAAGCCCTAATGATGCAAACATAATTGAGCACAAAATAGCGAAAATCCCAAATATTTTTTAGAAGCACTGAATCATGATAAGCTCTTCTTCAGGGGCAAAAATCTTGCATGATTTAAAACACAAATATATGCATGCAAGGAGATCTTTTTGTAAAGGAATTTGGGTATACATTTGTTCATGTGGACTAAGTCAAGTAGATCAGGAAGGGCTGGTTTAAATCTCAGCTTGGACAAAAACACATTTCGTGTGTGTTTCAACTGAAAAAACCAACAACTCCCAGCTTTCCCCAGCCTTCACAGCCAGAACAGCTGTTGTCTAAAGAATGATGGGAGAAGACAATTCCCTGTGGCATGGCTTCCAGGAACAATCCTGGCTTTTGGACACTGGGAAACTTTCCTACACTACCTGTTGAACTGCTTCCTGGCTATTCTTCTGGTAGAGCTCATCCTATATAGGGTGTTTCTGGAGGTCAGTTAAACCACCCATGGCACCCCTTTGCCCCTCCTTGGAAGAACTTCAAAACATGCCAGCGAGTTAATGAGCGGACAGTACTTTGAATGGTGCCCAGCTGTGCAATTACATCTTCCTGGCTTGGCTTTCTCATAGCCTCCTTCTAAAGCCAAAACCTCCTCCCAGAGCTGGGGGACGATTTCAGCTGACATCTTCATCTGGGGTTTCCCTGGAGAGAGACAATTACGGCCTCACTTCACTCGCCGCCTTACAGGACGGGAATGCCGATACTAGTATCAGACCAGCGACTGGAGCTTTGTGTGGTCAGAATGGTACATGGAGTCGGACAAATCCATCGGGTCAAGGAGATGGACAGCATTCCTCAGCTGGGAGCTTATATAAATAGCTATTTTATTTATAAGATACTGTTTCTGGCAGGTGCGATTGTCAGCCGTGAGGTCTGAGGCAAACAAGAGCAGACAGACAGCAACAATTACGCTGAAGCATCACTATTCAACAGTGGTCCACCGGAAAAGAGGGTGGCTAATTAACATTTGTAGGGCTGTCTGAGATGTCTTAAGGGGAAAACAAGCTTGGGTTGCCACATGCAACCCAAACAACAGTGAAAATGGGAGGGAAAAGGCTTATAGAGGAAACATGAAGAGTTTCCCCCTCTTCCACACAACTGTCTTATCCATATTGCAGCATGGGATGGACAAGGGAAAGGTATCCACACAGCTGTGCATCACCTGTAGCTTATCTTTTGAACCTACCAAGGACTGGAACAGTCCAAGAGTGATAGTAATGGCATCTTGCAGTCAGATCCTAATGCACTTTGCTTGGAAACTAGACCCAAGGCCTGTACTAGTATTATTTACTCTCAACAGGCAGTTTACAACAATCCATAAAAATAAAAATGCAGTAAGAATCAGAAAATCAGAACAAGTTTTAACACTTAAAAGAGTTTTAAAAAGGCAGTAACAGAGGTATTAATAAAGAGAGACCCTGCAGAAAGCTCAGAGGGGGGTATTCTTTAAGTCTTTAAAGGCCTTGGAAAAGAGGGCCATCTTAACCCGATGCCAACAGGATGGTGGCTTTGGTGCCATCCGGGCTGTAGTGGGAAGGCTCTTTCCTAGACAGGGGCCACCACAAAGAGGTCCTTGCCTTTGCCGCCACTGTCTGTGCTTCCCTCAGAGTTGGCAGAAGGCTCTGAGGCTGAGCAGCGTGTCCAAGCAGATCATGCTGGGAGAGCAGATGAGCAGCCCTCCAGGACTGGCTCTGTTTGGGGGTGTACCCCACCCCACAGCTGTAATGCAGGAAGCATGTTGCTTGCAGAACTTCCACAGTTCATTTTGCTGCTACCTTTGCATGCACGAGGTCTCAGTTCCCAGCATCCCTGGGGGGGCTCAGAAGGAGCTGTGTGGAACACCGCAGAGTCGGTGCAGCTAGAAGGCCCTGCGGTCTAACAGCATATAAAACCAGCTCTGGGTGCCCCAGTGGGCTCATATTGTCTGCTCCAGGGGCGTCGGACCCCTTTCAGCCTGAGCACGAAATTCAGTTTCTGCAAAGCTCTCCCAGGCAGATAATGGGCAGGGACCAAACCACCAAAACTGCTGGCTTAGGCCAAATATTTTGGCTTGGAGCTGCTAATGCTGGTAATGAAGTTTTAGGAGAAGCATTTCAATCTTAGTTGCATGAGTAAAACCCGTGGAAAAGCTGGGGAAACAATGGATAATTGGCTGCAAGGCAAAGGGGACAGAGATGCAAGAGGAGAGCTGTGGGCCTGCCATTCCCCACCTCTGGTCAGCTCCTTCCGTGGCTCTCGCCTTCTCACTAGGATTTTCCAAGGAGTTTTTAACTAGAAATGCCCAGAACTGATGCTGGCGACACCTGTGTGCAAAACCAGGTGTTGCAGGGGGTGGCTGGTTGCCCCTTCTCTCCCACCAGGTAATGCCAGGTTAGCCCCCCTCTGCAGAGGTGATTTGATGGTGGCCTATGCAGCGTCATGTAGCAACTGGATCCATCTCTCACGGCTTTCCTGCTGAACCTTCGGGGTGCGGGTGGCACAGAAATGGAACTGAATAAATAATAAATTCTGTGCCGGCTTTGCACTCACCCCAGCTATGGGTTCGGGTGTGCCCTGGGATGGGCGCTCCCCTTCCCATATTGCTCAGAGGTGGGCAGCCAGCCCCACCTCCCTCGATGAACGGCCCCATTGCCAGCACGCTGTCACAGCCACATGCTCACCTCCTCCTTTTCATTGCACAGACGCGTGTACGCCTAAAAGGTCGTGCGAAGCGGTCTTGCTCGCGCAATGTGTGCGCCAGCGGTGACGGTACGCCAGTCCCCTCCCCCGGCCTCTCTCTTGTCGCCTCTCCCTCCCTCCCGTCAGCCTGCAATTAGTACAGTCCGAAAGGGAGGAGGGGTCGTCGGGACGCGCCCGGGAAAGGCGCCCGCCCTGCGGCAGCCGCCGGTGCCACGAGCCGCGCGCGCGCGCGCGCACGCCCGAGGGGTTGGAGAAGCGTGGGAATGGGGTGACGGGGGCGGGTGGCCGGGCTCCGCGGGGCTGGGCTTGGCCCGGCCGCTGCACGGAGCCGGAGCCGGAGCCGGAGCCGAGCCGAGCGAGCCGAGCCGAGCCCGCGTGCTCCGGCGCGGGGGAAGAGGCGAGCGGAAGGGAGCGCGCCGCGCAGCGCCCGGCGCGCCTCCGCAGCCAGCCAGCCAGCCAGCCAGCGCGGCCGGTGGGAGGAAGCGGCTGCTGCGAGGCGGAGCGGGGAAGGAGGCGGCGAGGCGAGCGGGAGGAGGGGAGGGATGGCTCGCAGCTAACCACATCCGCGCCGGATCGGCCCCGCAGCGCTGGCGCTTCTCGGGGCCGCCTTCCCCTCCATTTTGGAGACGCGGCGCGGCGCGGCTGGGCTGGGCTGCGCCCGGGCGGCCGGTCCTCGATGGCGTTCAGCGCGTCCTGGCAGATCCTGTCGCCCGTGCAGTGGGCCAAGTGGACGTGGTCCGCGGTGCGCGGCGCGGGGGGCGGCAGCCCGGGCGGCGAGGCCGGGGGGGACGCGGAGAGTGCGGCGGCGGCGGCCGGGCAGCCGGAGCGCGGCGGCTGCGGCGAGGACGAGGAGGAGGACGCGCAGGCGGAGACGAAGTCGCTGAGCCTCAGGCAAGTGTGCGCGGCTCTGCGGCCTCGGCGGTGCCCGCGTTGGGAGGCGGGGCGCTTTCACACGTTACGCCCGAGCCCACTCGAGTGGGCCGCCACGTGCGCGCGGAGCTGCGTGGGCGGCACTCGCGGGCGGGATCGCGTGTATGGGCGCGCGCGGGACTGTGGTGCTTGGGTGGACGTGAGGGTCGTGCACTCGAGTTCCGGTTCGCACATGCACATGTGTTGTCCCGTGCCCGCTACGCGGGAGAACGCCCGTGTCGCTCCGTGTCCAAACCGTTGTTCGGCAGAGCTGGCTTCCCTGTTCCTCAGCTGCCCGTGATCGAGCGCAGAAACAGCGCCTGCTGGTGTGAACGGGGCTTTGGTGACTGGCTCTTGACCCCGTGGCCCGGCTGTGCTTGGCGGGATGAGGCTTGTGGTAGTGTGGCCGCCTGGCCTGGGGTTGGGCCTGGCCCATCTGCGCATTCAGGTCCTCACTTTTCCTTCGCTTGCATCAAATGGGAAACGTGTGTATGTGTGAACCGGCCCAGAACTGTGGTTACTCTCTATTTTAGGGTTGGTTTCTCCACTCACGCTTCAGATACCTGCTGAAAACCTAATGGGCGTACCCTTTTAGAAAAATAATGTGTAAAGTTGCACCTGTATTGCCAGATTGGCTCAGATTCTTGCCTCTATATCCCCCTTTGACTGTCTTGGGGAGATGAGTTACTAATGAAGGAAGTGCTTCTGAGCATATGCAGAACGCACTTATTTGGTATATATTTATCAGGGCCTTCATCCAGTCCGGTAGCTGAAGGTTGCTCTCCTCTTCCTGGCTCAGGTAACCCCAACCCTCAGCACCTGGCTTCCTCTGAAGTAGGAGAAATGCGTTGCACATGTGCCGCTACTCCAGGCTGGGTTGAGCTGCGCATTTCAGGAAGTGATGGCAGAACTTAATTTGGCCAGAAACACGTGTTGTTCTCTGTTCTTCCTCACCTACCGGATTGGAGAAGATGGTCTGGCAGCCCCAAGGGTGACTGCTCCGACCCAGAGCCAAAGTCAGCCTTCCCAGGGTCCCAGCATAACCCCTGAAGTTCCCCGTAGGGCCTCGCCCCCTTTCCCCAACCGCCCATCATTTCGGGCACCACCTTAGCAGGTGTCTGACTTGAGTGCAGTTTCCCCCATCTGCAAAGGCTTTCTTTAGGCTTAGTTGCTGGCGTGTCAGCTTTAAGCTGCAATTTTCTGGCATATTCTGTATTGTTTCCTTGCTCACCACTGGAATGTGACTGTGAAGGCTCCTCTCCCTTTAGTCAGTGGTCACGGCAGGGCACTCTGCACATGCACAGAGACTATTGGCTGTATCCCCCTTGTTCCCAGTTTGGGTTCTGTTGTGCAAAGTCAGTTAGGAGCCTTACTAACTGGTGCAGTTCAGTTCCTACCTTTGCTTGGCCAGAGCAAATGCATGGATCAATTTCTGCATTTGGTGAGTGGGAGAGGCAGAGAGGACACCTGCAAAGTGGACACCGTACCCGATGGTGGATCCGTTGCAGTGGGAGGGAGTTACACATAATTTCAGGTCCCTTTAATGGACTGCAGCTTTTCATTTTCCATGCCTGAGCCCCTGGTGCAGCAAGCAGATAGCAGGGCCACGCGTGGGCCAAGCTGTTGTACATTTTTACATGTATTTTACATGTATTTTTACATGTACATTGTACATGGCAACTGTTTTTAGGTGGTTGTTTGTCACGGTAGATTTATAAATATAAATTTATGACTACTCCTGCAAACATTTGAATAACTGCATCTCACTTTATGCCGGGAGTCAGCTGTTGGCAGCCCTAGGTGCCTCTCTTGCTTCTGAGTAATACTATTTGGCCCCATTTGGAGCATGACAAGCCCCACCATGGAATTTGCTAGAGCTCTTCCTTCCAGTGCAGATGCCACCATGGAATTTGCTAGAGCTCTTCCTTCCAGTGCAGATGCGTTTCCCCTGCCCTGCATCGCTCGCTTGGAACAGCTGTCGAAAGAAACTGGATGACTAAGCCTCGGCGCATTTGTTGTGGAGGTGCAGCGGTGTCTCCTGGCTGCCACGTAATGCGTGAAGCTCTAATTGAGTCCCGAAAGCGGTCCCGCTCCGAGGTTCCCCTCTGTCTGCTCCAGAATGGCCCCTCCTCCCTCACCGTGGCGAGGCTGCCGCCCTCTTTCCGAGCTTGGGAAGGATGGGGCCACCGTTGCCTTTACCCTTCCATGGTGCGCTTGGGGCGGCCCCCTGCTTGATGTATCTTCTGCAGTCAGGTTTTTTAGGGTGTACTGGGAATGAGTGTCGCTTCTTCCCCTCTGGAAAACCACTGCAAGCCAGTGATGCTGCCCGGGCAGCCTTTGCTGAGCTGGATAGCTTAGCCATTTGAGCTGAAGGCCGGAGAAAAGGCCTCGAAAAGGATGGGTGAAGCCGGCATCCCTTGAAGATGGGAGCCGCGTGGAGGATCGGAACTTTCCCTTCTTCTTGTCCTGTGCAGGGGTGCCCGAAATGCAGGCAGCCTGGCACCCAGCGATGTGGCTGGACTGTGGTCCTGCGACCTTCTCCTGTTTGTGACTTGGCATATTGCGTGGGTGGTGTGCGTGGCAGGAGGTTGGCTATCATTTTGGACCAGCTGGGTGCGGGAGGGATTAGATGGGGAGGTGGAAACCAAAATGGAATGCATTCAAAAGCCACTGGTTGAGAGAGAGAGAGAGAGAGTGCTCTTATCCCTTAAAAATAGGTATATTCACTCTGTGCAACCAGATCAACCCCAGGGTGGCAATAAAGGTGTGTGGAAATCTGTTTTTTGCTACTGTTTCGCAAGGGCCAACAGGAAGTGGTTCTTTACCTCCTGTTTCCCACCGTGAATTCATGTAATCCTCACTCAAGCTTTTACTGGGCAGAAATGTGGCTACACATCATCACTGAGTGAAAGGCACTTTGCCCATGCTCAGAAGAGCTGTTGACATCATGGTGCTTGGGCTGAGAGAGTCCTAGAGGAAAGAACTATATAGGGAATGGGCAGTCTGCAACCCATAAACCGGGGTGCATCTCTCAGCTGATTTACAGGTGGCCCCAGGTCGCTCCCCAGCCAATTTACCTCCCCTTCCCCACCAGTTAGCTTGGGGAACTGATGAGGTGCATGCTGGGAAGTGAGCTTTTCAGTAGTTTCTAGGGATAATCATTATTTGTACAGCAGGAAATGCAGTCTGGGAGTGCACTGGTGCATGAGAGAAAGAGGAGCGGGAAGGCAGGGCCCTGGAACTGCTCCCCATCACTGCCCATGTACCCCAGGAAAATAAAAGGTTGCCTCACCTGGTGAATGTCAGCAACAGGTTAGCTGTGTTGGGTAGAAGAACCTCCATGTGCAGAAGCAGTAGGCTGTAAAAGTATCAGGCAGTGAGGCCAGGGGAAACAGTGGGTGTCAGCCCTGCCTGCATTCTTCCTGAGAGATCTAGCAGGAAAGGAAAGGCTGCAAACATGGCATGCTGATAATTGATTGAAAGGGCCGTTTTATGCCGCTCCTCAACCCAAGAGATTCTGGGGGTGCCTCACATCCAGGTAGGTCAACAAATAGGCAGCCTTGCAGAGATTAGGAAAGGGGGTGACAAGGACAGAGGCGAAAAGGAGGGGTGTTTCAGCAGGGCTGGTGGAACGGCTCTGCTTCTCTGGATGTTGAATGTTTCTTGGCATCCAATGAGCAGGATTTAAAAATGCAAATCGTGTCTGCTGTGGAGGAGATGCTGTTTTGATTGTATTTGGCTGCACATGTTTCTTTCCTTTAAAGACAGATTTAGATTACCTCCAGTTTGGCCCTCAGTCTTTTGGTTTTGAATGATCCACCCTGACTTCTAGCAGAAACCTGGACGGTTGGTTTAAACCCCAGCCTAGAAGGTGTGGAAGCAGCTAAGTCAACCTTCTCTCCCCTCCTTCTTGGCAGTTCGGATTCGGAAGGCAATTTTGAGACTCCTGAGGCAGAGACCCCCATCCACTCCCTGGGGAAGGAGCTGGCGGACGAGTCCCTGGAACCGGAATCTGACCCGCAAGGTAAAGAGGCCCTGAGCTGGTAACCTTCATCCCCTTTTACAGGAGTGCTCTTGCAGCCTCACGGCATTTGAACCCTAACCTTAATACAGCACCGTTTGCATAATAGAGGGAATTGCCTTCTAATTTGGACCATGGATCTATCTAATCTGGTACTATATAATGCAGAGGTGAGTTTTCTGTTGTGTTGTGGTTGTTAAGAATCAGGGCAGACAGGGTGGGGGGGAATGATCAGCTTGTTGGCCTCCATGCTTGCCCTGAAGGAACACATAAGAATAGCTTTGGGTGCAGGGTTCAGTGCCATGAGAACCTCTGTTTTGTTATTTAAACCAAAAACATGCTCCTAGTGCTCAGGGCTGCAAAGATAGGCTTGAAAGTATGAGGCTTATGCATAATCAAATCCTGTACTCTGAGTTTCAGTCCTGCCTTTGGTTCCTTTGCCCAGCTCATCCAATAGCAAACGGAAGAGCGAATCAAATTACTAAATTTTGTGTCTTTATTTGCCTAATTCATACTGCTGCCGCATCCTGCTTTTGTTTGTACTGCAAGGGTGGCAACAACCACGAAAGATGACTGTGTGAATGTAAATTTCCCATGAGGAGAGAAGCTTGGTCTGCTTGGGATCCCTAAACTGGTGGGGACAGATTGGAAAAGGGCGTCCTCACGGTTAGGAAGATGCATTTGCAGAAGTTCGTCTGCTGGCCACTCCCACTTTCTCTGCGTGCATAATGGCTCCACGGCTCTTACCTCTGGTTACATTCCCTGCAGACACCACTCCTAATACCCAGGAGTGATGACAAAATTAATTAATTTCTTAATAACAATTAAAACATTTCTTGTGGTCATTCTTCTAGCTGTATGTGTGGTCAGCTCTTGCCCGCGTAGCAAACACCAGCAGGGGCTCAAGGTGGCAAGTTTCATGTCTCAGCGGGAATTCGAACCCTTCCAATCTGTCACCCTGTCAGCTGCTTCCTACTCACACATGCTTGGCATCTCCTGCAGGGGGGGTTGTGCAAAACACAGCCGCCCCCACTTCTTTCAGCAGGCGTGTGCAAGCACTCTCCCAGTGGACTGTGCTCCGTGGGCCGGCTCACGGTTGTCCCACAGCGCGCTGCTCCGTTCGGAAGGGCACCTCTCCCGTCTGGCAGCTTCTCTGGCTACAACCCCAAGCGGAGTCCAGATTGGCTGCAGTTCTGCTGATCGCTCTGTCTGTCGGCACCTGTACTTTTTAATGCAGATACATTGAAACGCACGCAGTGCCCGGGTTCCAGAATGCCGGTCGGTGCATCTTGCAACCACAGGGACTAGGACTGGCATGGGTTGGATTTTGCGGGAGAGGTTCGCGCTTTCGCCACAGAAGAGAGGGACACGATGTGTTTCCAAACAAGACCACCAGCTTAACGTTTCCAGGAGTTTCTTCTCCCAGGACGGCCAAGAAAACCCGTTTCCCACCAGCTCCCGTGAGACGTTCAAAGGGAGTGGGGTTGTCTGTGTGGGACACCAGAAACGGCTTCTGCTCTCTGGCTCGCCCGGGGCCTGGCTCCCACTCTTGCATTATGATGCGACTGCCCCTCGGCGACTGCGTGGGAATGTTCAGCAACCGTCCTCGGGCCAATGCTGTGCGTGTGAATCTCGGCCGCCCCGATGGGAGCAGGAAAAGCCTTCCACACGAGGCGTGGCTTTTGCTCCCGGGAAGCCTCTGCTGCACTGGCGAGGTTGTTTGCAGCATTTCTGGCAGAAGTGGGAAGTGGCGGCCCTCGGATCGGAAGCTCTCTGTTTAGCTTCTAAGCTGCCCATCCGCTACAGGGCCTGTTGGAAGAGCAGTTGGGTCTCCCTGTGGTGGGAGGAGGTGTTGTAGCAGGAGGCCTGCGAGCCGAGCTATATAAGGCAAAAGAGAAAAGCTTGTAGCCTGTGGAAGACCATACAGGGAGAAGGAGGAAACCCCTTCCCCATTGTTGCATGATAGAATTTGCAACAGTTCCCTCTTGGTTTTTGTTTATGTGGTTTTGTCAGCAGAAGCCTGGCTTGTGCCTCCTTCCAGCGCAGTGGAGAAGACGAGGGACCGGGGGCGCTGTAGCCCAGGACTTTGCACGGGCATGTTCGGCACTGACTCTGGTGGTGAGAGGGCTGGACCAGGCATCTGGGAGACCCGGGTTCTAGTCCCCACTCAGCCACTGAAGCTCACGGGGTGGCTTCGGGCCGGTCACTTCCTCTCAGCCCAACCTGCCTCACAGCTGGATCACGCAACTGCCCCCTTTCCTTTCAGGACCAGCAATCAGCCCCCGCGAGACAGCGTCTTTCTTCGTGGGTGCGCTGGCCCGGCAATGAACCTTACACAGATGTTTGCAGCTGGCCAAACGGCCAGGTGGCTACAGCCGATGCCTGCAGTGCTGCACTCGGGATGGGCAGCTTCCAGTCCCTCTGTACGATCCTTGGTTTTCCGAGCTCTTTCTCTCCTTGGCTTTTGGAACACCTTATAAAAGCAAGGACTCTTTCTCGCAGCAACTATCCACCCAGTGCAAGTGTTGTGCTTGGGGTGTCTTGATGCTGGTACATATTCCTGACAAATGGATCCGGGGGAAGATGCCTGCTAGATGAATTGCCTGGGTCAGTAGCTTATGTGTTGCTGTCAGAAGAGACTTAAAAGAGATTGTACAGTCCCTGCTGAAGGCAGAGGAGAAATGCAGGGGCGCTGCAGGTTTCTGGAGGGTAACTCTTCAGCCCTGAGGGCTAGCCAGGTAATTTGGCTTCCTCTGTCTTCCTCTATCCTGCTGGGATAGATTGCCCAGAGCTCCCTGGCATTTAGCCAAGGGGGGGGTTGATGAATGTTGTTTAACAGACATCCCCCAGGGTGTGAGCTTGCTAATGCCATGCAGTTCTCAGGGCTGTTCCAGCTACTTGGAAGAGCTTGCTTGTCTCCTGTTACCTGGTGCCTGCAGAATTCTGCACAGCACAGAGTTTGCATTTCCAAGAACTGCAGCTTTCTTTAAAAACAAGAAAAAAGTTTCTAGCCCTCATGGCAATAGTTTCTCCTTGAAGGGCTGTCTCTGCAGGTGTGCCAAGACAAGCCAGCAGCTGGGACTGAGAGACAAGGGCTTGCATGGTGGAACTTCTCCCAGTTTCGGCTGCCCTGTGGGTCTTCAGTTTGGCTGCCTGTTGCCTGAGAGGCCGATCACGTGAGGCCTGGTATTGATTGCGAAGAATGTGGCCTTTTGATTATGATGACGATGATTATTGCATTGCATTTATATCCCACTTTTTTCTTCTTTGGAGGAACACATGGCAGCTTATAGAGACCTCCACTGGTTTTTAGCCTCACAACAACCCTGCAAGGTTTGTTAGGCTGAGAGTGAGTGACGGGCCTGAGCCACCCACCAAGCTGCAGTGGCCGAGTGGTGACTGGAACCTGCGTCTGAGGTCCCCAGTTCATCTCTCTCACCATGAAACCACTGCGCCTCTTTGGGTTTGTCCTTGTTGCAGCCTTTGCACTGTTGGTCTGGCTTCTGGCCGCTTCCTTTTCTGTATTTGAGTGTTGGAAGAACCTGGCTGCATCAAAGGCTCATCTTGTCTGACCTCTGGGAAACTCACAAGGAGAACCTTCTCTGTTTGTCTTGTGGCATCTGCTGTTTAAAGATATACTGCCCCTGGAAATGGAGGCTCCTGAGGAAGTGGCTTTCTGCTGAGTCAGGTCTGAGTCAGCACCAGTGCCTGTGACCGATGGTGGCTGTCCAGGGTATTGAGGATGCAAAGCGGGCATCCAAGGTGGAAGCCGGTGTGGTGCAGTGGTTAAGAGCACGGGGCTGGGATCCAGGCGATCCGGCTTCTAGTCCTGCTCAGCCCTGGAGCCAGCTGGGTGACTTGGGGCCAGTCCAGACTCTCAGCCCAGCCTACCTCACAGTGGCCTTGAGTTCCTTGGGAGAAAAAAAAACCAGGGTATGTACAGACAAATAAATAGGCAGTGCCTTCTTGATAGCAGCTAATTGTTCTTCTTGTTCACATTCGTGGAAGACAAGCTTAATTTGCTAAAGACATCTGTGTTATTTATTAGCATTGTCGCTTCCTGTGGCAGAGAAATCGGTGCTATTTAAAATTCCTTTAATGTGGTTGGCAGCTTTGGACATGATTCATGGAAGAGGGGAAGGATCCAAAGCATGAGATGCTAATTGCCTGTTGTTTGAACAGGAATTTCTTTGGGTAACCCTTCCCAGGCCCATCATAAATCATCTACATTGGGACGCTCCTAAGGTTTTAAGAACTGGAGGAGGGAGCACATTTAGCTGTTCTGATGAGAAGGAAAACACCCTCCTCCTCACATTGGTTGCAATTCTGCAAATCCCCTCCCCCCCCGTTAGTTTCCCCACTCCTAACATTATTCCTTCCACCAGTTTTTTGCGGTATAAAAAATTTGATCCAGACTTACTGCCTTTCCTTGCGGGAGCCCAATAGGTTGGGCTAACGTTGTTACCTAGCAGTTACTCTCAGTTTTTGACCCTCTTTAGTTATTGCTAAAGTACCTAAATACCCTACGACAGGGTTGATGAGGCTGTAAGCTTATTCTCCCTCCTCCCGGCCCTTTGGCCATGGCTGATAGGAGTCGGAGTTCAGTCATATCTGAAGTGCCACAGGTCCATCCCCCACACCCTGCCATAGAAATGGCCAGGATTCAAGGCCGCTTTTTGGACTGGGGCCTGCTTTGATCTGTGAGTATATAAGGAAAGTTCTGGCCAGTTGTTGAGACCGGCTGGGAGATAAATCAGCAAAAATCGCACTGGCTGTCAGTCTCTTCCCCCGCGGCTCCCCAAAGCCTGATCTGATGTAGCTGTTGCTGGGGAGGCGGAAACGGGAGGCAGCAGAAAAGACGCTGTTTGTTCCACTCAGCTGAGGTTGACTCAGCACTCAGTCACCCGAACCACAAGGCAAGCGTTTTCGAAAATAAATCATTCCTTGGACACTTGCTACTTGCACAAGTTGTGCTCTGTGGAAACGAACACGGATAGAAGCTG